TGTATGCCTCGAATATCGGACATGGTAGGGGGAGGAAGTAAAAAATATTTAAATAGTTTGCAAAAGCAAAAGCCTGTTATATTAGAAAACACAATTTGGTATCAAGCTGACATTCTGCATTTGCTTTCAATCAGTTATCGCAGACGCTATTCAGACAAAAGTGTTCTGCCACCAGGGGGTGTTTCCTTCGCATTCTCTCACTGCTTTAAGCTCAAAGTACAGCACCAGATCGACGCAATATTCGCGAGGTAAAGTTCAGAAGTAACTATCGCCACATTCACTAGCGAGGAAGCAGATCAACCGTATTTGCAATAGTTTCGTTTTCTGCCATCACGAGTCAGAAATCAGCGAGGATAGGAAATAAAATCCAGAGCCTTCCTTCCCGCTCGAGGCAAGATTCTAGATACGCTCGTGATTCTAATCTGTATGCAACGTTCTGCCACGCCATGATGTTGTAGCGGCAACGTTCGGAGAAACGAAAAGCAAATTTCATGTAATTTGTAGCAATGAAACTTTAAATTGGGCGCAAAATTGCAGACAATTCTGTGTGCACAGGTTCCACAAAATGGAGGACAATATTGAATAAAATCTGTGAAAATAGCTCAAAGCAAAGTAAAGTGCATTTTTCGCAAAATTTGTCGAACTAGCACGCACGCATGCGTGGGTGCACACACTTTTTCATTGTTGAAAATGCTATAGGTGAGTGATAGCAGAGTGCAGATAAGCACGAAACAACGCCTCAACATTTTCCACATCATTCTGCGTGCACTTAAACGTGCCAAATTTTTCGCAAGTGTTGCTTCGCAGAGAAAATTCACTTGGGCACACGCATAAATTCCTCCTTCCATCATGATACTTCCCCCCCCCCACCACCACCACCAAAAAGCTCAGGCTGGTCACGTCTGATGAGTGTTCCTGTAACAGAACCCTACCAACCCACCATAATGTTCCATAGGAGCACATGAACATCTCACGAACAACGACCAGGCGTATCTAATGGCTCACCTTCTCGTAGATGCGTGGGTCTATGTCCTCCAGGGGGCGCCCGTAGACGTGCCGCGGCAGCTTATCCGCGTTCGTCCACTCCGTCGCCTCCTCGACCTCGCCGGGCTCCCCCTGGTGGTGCTGGCCTTTCAAGCGCCGCTTCAGGTCACCGAATATCCTGTCGGCGCCGCTGCGCCCGCGCTCGTGACCGGACGCCATCTTGCTCGCATTCGTCAGGCAGCCTGTGCGCTCCGCCTGGTCGCTGTCCAGCGCTCTCGTCGGCGAGTCCTCGTCGCGACACGCACAGCAGGGGTCGCCACCGTCGTCCGTCGCGATCACCGCCTCGACGTACGACGCCGAGCGCTCGCTCGCCGGAGAGTCCTGGAGCAGCGCCTCCTGGCGAGCGCTCTCGGCGCTGTCCCCGGAATTGCTCCACTCGTCCGCCATGTCGTGGCGTCCCGGCGCGTCTCACGTCATCGCCGCGGCGACCGACTCACCTCGTCACGAGACGCCGTGTTCACATCCCGGGACCCATCGAAGAGGGCGCCCCGCCGACTGTTTTTCCCCGACCTGTTCCCTTCTGTGCTGTGGAACAGGCGCTATTTTCCCGCGGACCGAGAATGGGTGTTTTGACACCGAATTCACGCACTGGCGCACCGTTCCCCCGCAGGAAGGCACGACGTCATCCCGTTGTTCTCCTCACGAAGAACGTGCACAAATACACTGAACACACGACAATGGGCGGTTGTTCATCCGGCCGTTAGCAGTGGAACGACGACAACGAGAACACCACACGCGCGTGTGCGCGCTCGTCTATCTCCGACCCAGCGAGCGAGTTGTTACGGCGAGGCACGGCCGACGCGATATATTAACCGGGGATTCTATCGCGCTCTCTGCCAAAGTCGCTTCCAAATGTTTGAAAACAACTCCTCCGCTTCACTGCATGAAAGAAGACAAAGCACACGTTAAGAAATCTCTCTCTTCATCGCAACATGAGTCCCGGCCGTTACGAAGGGATGCTTCCCGCTTAATCCAACCTGCGGTTTTCCCGTTCCCGTTCAGCAGTGTGGCTTGCAGCCAAGGATAAGAATGCGCTTCGCAACGGCGAAACTATGATCAATGAGGCAGCCGATTCAGATTCAGCATCTCACGCTCAGTGCTGCCACCTATGTCTGCAAGCTAATGGGTTTGCGAGACAAGGAGCACACGTAAACGATCCTAATTAGTGCAAGTAAAATGAGTAAGCCTCATTTCCTCGCTATAACTTGTAATTACATACATGCATGATGTCTATGGCTAGGAAGATAGTATGTACTTAATGGTATGCTTGATAATGTGAATCACATTGCCATTAATGTCAGTAAAGAGATAATACCATGCATGCACACAGACTACAACAGCAAAATACGTACATAAGTATAATATAATGACAGGTCTAGTTATAATAAAAGCGTTAATTCAACAACAGTAAATGTTTATACAGACTGTTAACGCTGAACCACTGCAGTCATCGTTTAAAAATTCCGAATATCAGAAACACAAAAAGTTTTTACTTGATCTTGCAGATGCAAGCATTTTTAATTAGTGCATGTTTACACATATGGCTTCAATCATACTCTGCAGTACTCAAAAATAGAACAATAGCCAGTTATTTCAAGCCAGAATTAACCCTATAGTGTTCATTAATTCATAACATATCTAAAATTATATATTAATTCTCTTCTTAATATACTAGATGAAATGTACTTAGCATGCATGCCATAGTGTGTTCACATCCTGCCTTGTTTCAAATGTCTTAATCCTAAATCCCACTTTGCCACCATCTCATACTACGTGCCTGGTTTTTCATATTCAATCTACATTATTATCACATGAAAAGGACCTATTAACGTACTCCATTAGTAATTTTTTTCAGTTTAACCACTTGGGCCTTGACTGAAAAATGGCTTACCAATAATTTCACCCATGCAGACTTTTCTTCCTTATAACATGTCCATGCTGTGTATAGAATCAATATATGCTAGAGTGGACCAGTACGAAAATACAATACATGGGCCAACAGAATCTGGGCTGCATGAGTAAAATGAGTGGAGACCACTCGGAGTAATTAACAGGGGTTTGTGAAGTGTGTGATGATACCAGGATTGTGGATTCTGATGAGGGAGCACAGAGAGAAACAGCTCCATCATAAAATGTACTTGGCTACAAAAGTATCTATTTATGCTAATTTCGTCCTACATATATATATGTGGTTTATCTCTTGCAATCACAATAAAGGGCATTCCTTTGTCATTATTGATATGATATACGTCTTACATTGGGTTAGTAAATAACTGTTTAATAGCAGTGCATGGTGATACAGTTTGCCAATTTATGATGTTGTAAAATAATGTCAGTATACCTTACAGGGCCAAACGAGAGAGATAATTTCAAGAAAATTATAATCACGATCACATAATTATGTACATGAAAAAGCAAAGAAATTCTTAAGCTTTGGCCTTACTTACACAAAATATAAAGTTGAATATTAGAAATTTACCTGATGCAGGAATCAATATTATTTTTAATCATGTCACTAACAAAGAAGAGGTTGAAATTAACATTTAATATACATATCGTCATATCGTTTGATCATGACCGAGGATCATTGGAACACCAACACCAGCAGACACCAAAAAGCAGTTGATGAAACACTCAATTTGCTGATAGAACATATAGATATACCTCCATGTGCTGTGGTAAGAGGTCATATATATGTAAATTTCAGGAGTAGAAATTAACTTTTGAACAAGGGAGTCCAACGAACTGTCACTCCCTACCCTCAAGAAGAGGGAGTCCGCAGCAAAATGTGGGGGTCCGCAGTCTGTGGTTCAAAATTAAAGATATTAACAATAACGCATGTGCTTATTTTTAAGAACATGCAGTTGCACGTCTGCCAAATTTTCTTTGGACATTAGCTGAAAAAATACAGTAATTCCGCGAGGCCGTGCTCCGAAACAAACTAGTTAGTATGGCAGAATTTTCAGGGAGTCACACGCATTCCTGCACATGTCAAACAAGGAGTACGACAGTAAATCAGGGAGTATAAATTTGACTCCGGACTCCCGTTAATTTCGCACCCTAGTGTAATGATGTAAAGTGTTTGACTGTTATACTTATAGTGTTTAGTATATAATAAATATATAACGTAGACTTTGTACTTTTAGTTCTCCCTCCCATTCGATTCCAAGTCTATCCTATTTTAGTACCCCACACGTATTCGGATTATGAATAGCTTGGAATTATGGTAAGCTCGTGGTAGATCTACATATTATGAGCATTAGTAGGCCAAACTTGCCACAGGAGCTATGACTATGGGCTGAAACGAATGCCTACGGTAGCCTGGGTAAGAGCTAGGGTATGGCCAATGCGATAATGTATGATCACGATGTATCCATAGCCATAGGCATAGGGTCCTCACGTTAGTAGTTTTTAAACGTGAGTCGTTTTTAAACGGTTCCAGGTAAAGGCTTCATGTCATGCACTACAGTATTGTAGCCCAGATGCTGAGATGGCTGTCATCTAGTCATAAATATTAGACTTCAAAGTCCAAGGGACTACTAATAGTAATAGTAATACTACTCCTAGTAATACTAATAGCAAAAGCTAATAATACCTAGCTAGCTAGGTATTATTAAATTAGCTCTTGATATATTGAAGACAGAACTTTTAACTTACCACATTATCTCTAGGGCCTACATTCACATTGGCTGTACTTGCCGTTACCTCATATAGCTGTACGGCTTATGAAGTCGCTGATGTTGACTCGGATATTCGAGTACAGACAGTAGACTTTGTTTACTGGAGGGTGGAATGTAACTTTTCAAACAAGTTTCATTCAGGGATTCTTCAGCTGTACAGAATAAATGATACAACCAGACGATCCAAAATTACCGCTTTACGAACTAGAGGGCGCCACGTACTGGAGAGCGGCACAGTAGCGGATTCTAGAGACTGTTCATGCGTTTTGTGACTGTTATATGAGCAAAGACTGTACTTCGGTGTACTATACTATAGTATATATATATATATAAGTATAGTCTATAGCTTCCTTGGTTATTAGTTGTGATTAGTGTCAGGAGTGATCTCTGTGAGTATGAAAAGAGTTAAACTGGCTGTCTATTTCTGAAACACTGGATCAATCGTTTAGTTATTCCATAAATACTTCTCATCATTCCATTACCTATGTCATGTGAAATGGCCACTACGGACCCACAGACTGGAGCTGAAGAAGAGGATGAATTCGAGGAGGAGATCCAAACTCCAGAAATTCAGGGATATCTCACTAAATGGACTAACTACATTCACGGCTGGCAAGATAGATACATTGTTCTAAAAGATGGAATATTGAGTTACTATAAGTATGAAGCTGAAACAGCATTTGGATGCAGAGGGGCTGTCAGCATTAGTAAAGCTATCATTGTGGTAGGTGTGTTATATTACTGTTTACATGTTTAGTATTTAGTAGGGCCCTAGTCTAGAAGACATGTCCCACAATACTTTATGTCTACAATACAATACACAATGGGTCATGTCTTCTAGACTAGCTCCTGTATTAGTGCTATGGAGTATGCATGGTTTATGAGTGACGTGTTGACAGTGTTGTATCTATAGCCGTAGTAAAACCGGTAAAAGCTACAGGTTATTCCATGGGTTCCTTCCTTTCTCTTGACATACATGATCATTACATGTACCTGTAACACGTAGGATGACCGACACAAGAACTGCCACGTCTCTTCCCATATTCTAGTGCAATACGATTAAGATGAAATTCTACACCAACCTGACAACGCAGGTTCCACCAACAGTTAATTTGAGAAAAATTGCACTCATTTATTTTACCTTTGATCTATCACAGTATCAGCTTACGCGAGCACTGCACATAGATCTATAAGAAACGTTTATAAATATGGTTGTTCTTCCAATAAGATTGTCAGCTTTAGATAATTAATCTAAATTCTATTTTATAACAGTGCTAATTGCAGCAGTCAACGTAATCTGTATATATTTTTACTTTTCAGCCACATGCCTTTGATGAGTGTAGATTTGACGTGCACGTCAATGACAATGTATGGTACCTGCGTGCAAGGAGCGTTCAGGAACAGCTTTACTGGGTGCAGACGCTTGAAACATATAAAGCTGACTCGGGTTTCGGCAGTGAACAAAATTTACGGAAACATGGATCTCTTGTGTCGCTTACTTCTGGAAACAGTGCCTCAGTCACCAGTGTTTCCTCATTAAAGGTAACTGCCATCTGTAGTCGGGGCCTGTGCCACGTATCCCTTCACGATACATGTTTATTGCAAGCAATTATGTATTCTATTTACTGCAGGTGCTAATGGCAGCCAAATAAATATGTCATATATAGCCAAGTCTAACCTTGTCCGAAACGTACATCTTAACCTTGTACAGCACATGATATCTATCGATAAATTTTGTTATTGGTTTACACTCTTAAATTGACTACGTCACAAATTTCCCATGGTAAAATTAAAAAAAAAAAATTGCCATTTTTTTACATTAAAAGTAAGAACTAAATATATCCTCAAACTCTCACCTGATAAAAATGTGTTTACGTTGGTTAAATTTGCAAAAATCTAGACGATTTGGTAATTTCTGTTGTCTAACACTATTCCCCCAGTACTGTTCAGATACTGGCGTCTCTCTGTTTTTCACCAGCAAATTAGGGCATATATAAAGAAGGTATATAAGCATGAAAAGTAAACAGAAACACTAATTGTATTTTCATACATTTTATTTTGTACAAATAACACACAAATATACTACTTGATGGTGCTAGAAATTCGTGACGTAATCACTTTAATATGGTGCCCATGAGTTTTTCACACATTTGTAGCTCGTGTATGTGAATGCAGAATTCGAACCTTGGTAGACGTTCAAACACCTGTGCTGATAATGTACATTTGTAATCGTGAAACCATTATTAATTTTTCACGATGTTTTTACATTTTTTATTCAGAGAGGAAAAGGGTTACGTGAGAAACTCGCAGAGATGGAAACATTCCGAGACATTCTATTGCAACAAGTCGACACACTGCAAAGATACTTTGACTCGTGTGCAGATGAAGTTACCCATCCCAACGATAGCCGCATGTGTAAGTCTTCACTTGTGTGTATGAGATATAATATGCTACGAGAGTAAATCAAGCGTGTACTGATTGATGTCAAGTATCATTGAAAATGCAACCTTGCCAACCCCTGTTTTTGAATGGCAATGTAACTTGAAGTGAACCATACCTGCCTCATAGCCTGCCAATACTGTATTCTAGAAATGGTTCTCAGTCATTTCCCTACATCTTGCTGTCTCTATTAATTATACGGTCATTATTTAGTATATTTACCACGTGTAAACATGGTGATGCCTCACTACAATGAAAATAAAACAGCATACAAATTGACTAAAAAAGCTCATTATTCATGGAGCTGGCTTTACTCATGCTAGTTGTAAGTAAAATGAGTGGTGAATTCAATGTTCATGCGATGTAGATGCAGTGAGTAGAATCGCTGCAGAGAGGGAGTGGTAGCCTTCCTGTATAACCTACACAGGTCATTCGTGGCCAAGCAACAATTCAGTCTGCCTTGCTGTGCGTTGATGGGTTTACATAGCCAAGCCTATAGGCCTGTGCCAATTAGTGGGCAATGTTCGCACTGTTTACCATTGGGCTCGTGTTATCGGTGTGTCAATATTATATGAGCAATGGTGCATACAGTAGGGGGACCCTATTTATGGCATCCATAAAGTATAATATTGATATGCATGATAAGTTTTGCGGACAAACTTGGGTGTCCAAATCCTTATCGAAATGTGTTACCGTGCGTGGGCGTTATGGGTCACTGCATTTTTAGCTCATCTGACATAGTCAGATGCAGCTTGTAGAATCGCATGAGCGTGCGTCCGTCCGTCCGTGCGTGCGTCTGTGCGTGCGTCCGTGCGTGCGTCCGTGCGTTAACAGTTGGGCACAAATCTTAACCGCTCGACGTACGGTCACGATATTCGGGACGTCGGGGGGGGGATCGTCAAAACGAGTTCGGATGTTGAAGCTGGGGGTCAAAGGTCAAATGTCAAAGGTCAAGAGGTGTAAAAGAAGGGGGAACATTCCCTCCTTAACTTAAGGTATAGGGAGGAAATGCGAGAATTGCGGGCAACAAATCTAAACGGCTCGGACCGTAGGGCTCGTGCATAGTCGGGTATAGCATCATGGTAGGAAAAGCCATCACTGTGCCGAAATTGGAGGTCACAGGTCAAAGTCAATGGGGCACATGGCAGATTTTAGACATTTTCTGTAGACATGGTCTGACCGGAGCGATTGAAAAACTTTTTTGTTTCAGCGTGACCTACCATTTTTATGGCTTTATTGAAAGGACCATGAAATGTGCTTTCCGCTGACTGAGAGAGAGTAAGTGTCGGATAACCTTTGACCGTGACCTCAAGAGGAGGGTTAAACATGGTTTGTTGACTGTTAACAAAGGACTGAACTGTGTTTGATGGTACTTGTGTGATCGTGAAGACTTAAATTTCACAAGTGAAATTCTGCTGCAAAACTTACTTGAACACGTTTACGCGCCTTAAATCATAATATGAACTTCATTCTCTATATGAGATTCTGTACGTTGGGATACAATGTCAATAGCACTTATGCAAACGTCTGTTTTTTGAGTAAGGCCAACTATAAATAGTATACCTCGCAGGTGGGTGGCTGATAGTATCACAGCATGGGCTAAACGATAGACTGGTACTGCTCCACCTCGATTACTCGCCCCATCAAGTAACTAAGCCGAGAGTGGGATCGGTACCAGTCTACGTAATCGATGCAGTATGCACGCCATCTATCCGAACAGAGTGAGAAGAATGTCCCGGCAAGTGCAGAAAAAGAATTACTTTCTTAACTTCAGTTTAATCAATCTTGAGTAGAGTCATTGCAGAATTGAATCGTCAAACCTACAAATGAAAGGTTGCCAACTACCAAAATTTGCGCATTTTTTTGTACTGTCCTTAGCTATATGGCCTCTCTCCGTCGACGTTACAGTAGTGTGCAATGTCGGGATATGGTGGAGCATGCTGGCTTGTGGACGCTGCAGAGCCCAATGGTTGACTGTCAGTCGAAATGTGTTGATCCTCCCCGACATTTAAGAAATCTGTACGTTATACGTGCGTCTGCCTTACCTCTGCCCGCCATCTTCGTCGAAAGTTTGGACGCCACGCGGGCGAAATCGGAATGTACATTTCAATCGATGACGTAACTGATACAGTAGCGTGCCGTGTGGGTGTTATTTGTTTATAAACAATTTAGTCTGACTAACTTTCTCCCTCTCTCTCCTCTCGCTCGCTCTCTCTATCTTTCTCTTTCTCTCTCTCTCTCTCTCTCTCTCTCTCTCTTTCTCTTTCTCGCCCCCTCTCTCTCTTCCTCTCTCTCGCTCTCTCTCTCTGCAATAAAAAAAATGTTTGCTGAAATGATGTGTACGCAACTGTGTATCTGCATATAAATGCGCCTAACAAAGGTGTCACTACGCACGACTGAAATGTTACGTTTATAACCGTAGCAACAGACCTCAGATGAGCCCAGACGCTCTGCGGCTCTTGTTATAGCAGTTGAAGCGTATTTGGGCTGTGTCCAATATCTGGCACAGACAGTTGAAGTCTTAGAAGTGATTTTCACCCCAAGTCCTGCACTTGTCGTGTAAAAAAAAGTATAGCATTTTAATTGATTGATTAAAATTTATCAATATGAATAGCATTAATTAATAATTATTATTTTAGAACAAAACTATTCATGAAATCGTTGTTCATACATTTTTGTCTTGGATTATTTGTTTAATGTTACTTCTATGTATACTTCAGTCAAAATGTAAACGTTCTGTGTCACATATGTTCAGTATCTATGATTGAGTGTAGTTCACGTGGTCATGAGCAAACCTAGTTTTTGGACGGGGTGATATATAGTACAGTCACTTTTATGTGCGGAATGTTAATTTATTCTATGTTTTCTTATAGCTCCTGACATCTTGGATATTGATGACTTCGATGATGAAAATGTAGAGGAGCCACATTTTACCGGAGTAAGACATCGGGATAAAGGTATCGCTGTCGTAATGTGGAATGCATTTATGTATTTTCGAATTCCATATACCCTTTCTGGAATATTAATAGATAGAGTGCTGACCCTACATCAATCACTCAAGCTTTTAATTTATATAGGAGCTTAGTATAGGCTACTGTAGGGGTTAGAATTTACACATTTGGTTCATTGCTATCTTAGCATGGGCTCTTATTAATCATTTGTGATAGCCATATTTGCCACCTGATACATTTCACACTGCATTATGATAAGGTAATTAAAATTTTCCGAAATCGGTTGCTGTTTTCAGCAAAGTGGCATTAATTTAACACCAACCAGAGTTTCATAAATAGAATAGATACTTCCAGTGCTCATGTGTTCTCTACACTTGCTGCTGTCAAACCACCTGACTTCACATAATAAACACAACAATAGCAACAACAATAACATTGATAGCGGTGATGTGGATGTTGTTGATGATGAGGATGATGGTGATGATGATGATGTTGTTGATGATGAGGATGATGGTGATGATGATGAAGATGATGGTGACGATGATTATGACAATAATACAATAATTACTAACAATATCAGGTTCAGCACCCAATAATCTGCCACCTTATGTATATCAACCTATGATTTGACTTGAAGCACTGAGGAAATGAATATGTGCGAGTGCATTAAAGCCGGTATCTAAAGGTTTTTACGTACAAAACAAGTGAATTCGAATCTTCAATTCTACCTCAACACTGCCCAACTCCCAAGTTAACTACATCTCCTGCTAGTTGAACAGCGATAATGCACCATGGAGATAAATCCTCATTCCCTACGACTTCCTTTAACCAAGATCCCTAGTCATTGCAGCTTTTCTGGGTTTATGTAGACAGTCTCTTTGCTAATCTCATGTGCGCGCGTGGGTCTCATGTATTTGTTGCGTGTTATAGGATGCACGCACGAGTCGCTGGCCATACACGCTTCGCACTCGATCGACTTCCGTGGCGAGGCGATCACGTTCAAGGCGACGACGGCGGGGATCCTCGAGACGCTCTCGTTCTGTATCGATCTCGTCGCGCAGCGGGAGGAACTGTGGCGACGAAGAGTGGAGAAGGTAGAGGACCGCGCTGCGTGGCGCGCGGACGACGCAGTCGTCGTAACCAACGATGTGTTCCTGTCGGCCGGTGTTGTGTTCCTGTCGGCCGGTGTTGTGTTCCTGTTGGCCAGTGTTGTGTTCCTGTCAGCTAGTGATGTGTTCCTGTTAGCTAATGATGTGTTCCTGTCAGCCAGTGATGTGTTTCTGTCGGCCGTGATGTGTT